AGTCAATACAATATAGAATCATAAACATGGCCAAACGAATAGTACACTCATATGTCAAACACATGAGTGCACTATTCGTTTGGCCAATCCAGTACCTCTCAGAGGCCAATAATTATGCCTTGCTGTTGCAAATAAAAACTGTGGACCTGAATGCATGTAGGTCGTGTGTAGAGAGTCAAATAAAAGATAAGTTAATCGATGCTTGCCACATAGAAAAATGGAATAATTTCATATTGTGATCGTAGTAAGAATTACTAAGCCTACCACCTACTCTGATAAGATTATCGGAATTAATAAAGGGAGATAAAGATAAACGTCTATTTTTGTGTGGTAAACGTTTGTTGTCAATGAGTAACTGACGCTCTACTGCAAATGACTCTTGTTGAGCTACTTGTAAAAGTTTTGCCGTGGCTGCCTTGAGTTCTAATGTTGTTAAAAATCCATTAAGCTTTGTTTTTTTTTTCAAATATTGTAAAAAAATCTTAGAATGAATGCAATAGTACGTTTTAATTTACTAAAACTAGAAATATTTTTAAAAGATTAGGTAATATTTGAATCTTTCCATCCAAACAAAAACAACTTATATCACTACTGCAACTGATACAGATGAAGAAATAAATAAATTATTTGGTGATAATGAAAAATGAAAGGAAGAAGAAAGAAATTGTAACGATCTCACGGTTTGATGCGAAGATGCCAATCTTATCACTTTATCCGTTTTTATCTATTTTTTGAATTTCTTGTGTATATAAAAGAATTTCCCACTCGTCTCGGTGCTGCAAAGACGACTCGGGCTACTTCGCGTTTTTGCTCGGAAGACTATTATTCCGCTGGAATGCCACGTGGATAGCACGAACTCCGAGCTGGCAACGGTTTTTTCTGTTTGAGCAGCTGATTATTATGATCGCCGCCGTCGTCGATCGAAAATTTTCCCTGTCGTCGTTCCTTATGCAGCAGAGAACATAGCTTTACCACGAAACTTTGCGTGGTCTTTGACGCTTCAGCTAGCACGTCTTCAGTTAATGATATTCAAAATGTTAGTCCAATCATACAGGATGATATAATATCTATTTTAATGCGTTTCCGGCAGCATATATGTTGATTCTGCGAAAAAATTTATCGTCAAGTAAATATAGACAAAACGCAACGTTCTTTACAATGCATTTCATGGAGGTTCGACCACTCCCACCCTCTCAGTACTTACACCCTTAACACAGCCACGTATGGTAAATTACTATGTTCAATAGATTGTAACTGTAATCGTACTGGAAAGAAAGGGTGATATTCATCACCCTTTCTTTCCAGTACGATTACATATATTCATTCATTCATTCATATGATATTCATCAGAAAACAATACATAGGTGGCACAGTGTTAGATACTTGTAACGTGATGGCGGAATTGATGTTTGTTGACCGTGCTTTGTTGATCAAAGCCGTGCTGAGATGTTTTCACCTTGTATGCGTTTGTATGTGGCTAGTTTCTTTCTGCCTTAATGTTTTACAGCGGAACGCTTTGTCGCTCCGCCTCACATCAATGTGAAGTGGTTTGGAATTTCGAACTATAGCACAGGTCCCACTGTCGAAGACGAACGAGCATCTCTTTGCATTCATTGCAGGAAACCCACAATCTAGTGCTGTAGTTACAAGCTTAAAAAAACTGTTTTATTTAATTTTTGTTTATCTACTTTCTTTTACCCCCTGCTTCCACTTTAAAGAAAGACTTGTATTTTTATAAGAAAAAACATAGTTACAAAGTTAAAACTAGTAGTAAAAGTGTGTTATTCTCAGAATAATTGTACACATCAATAAATTTCTTAATATTCAACTTATGTAATTGTTTTAGTGCAAAATAATGATTCCATTTAGACAGAGACGTTGCCAATGTATATAATTTATTCCATCTCCGTAAGAGAAATAAGATCTTAAACTTGGCATCGGGTCTTATTTATTACAACTGATTGATGGTAGCGTTTACCGATATCGGATACTAGTTATTATTTGTGGTACACGATCGATTTAACAATCTTAATTTGGTTAGCATATGAATCCTTATGTGATTATGCGGTAAGCTGTTATTAAACTCTATTAATAACAGCTGTAACCTTTTGTCCTAAGAGATCTGTGAAATTAATAAAAAAATATTGGTCAAAATTATGTAAAATTGGTTACATTTATGTAAATATCTGACTTAAAAATTATGTTTATTAAATTATAAACTAGAGCAAATCTTTGTTATTTGGTTTTTTATTTTCATATAAATTACTTTATTTATTTATGTTACCAAACAGTATGAATAATATATATTTTAACATAACAATATTTTCGTACTGTATGAAATCTTCTTTTTCGGTGTTCTGAATAAATCGCCGATTTAGGCACACCTACCTATAAATTAAATGTGGACTTAATATCAATGATAATTACATTTAAATTAGAATTAAGACACTTGCATCAACTTTATTATAAAATCTATAGTAAGATTTGTGCATAAAAGATTATCTTCTACATTAAACGGAAAGTGGGAAATAATCATGATGTGTCTATTATGTTGTTCCTGTTGATGTCAGAGGCAGATATACCTACAATTGGCAATTTATGCAAATGTCTAGACACCCAGGATCAATTTACTAACAATACGTCAGCAGTCTCACTGAACTAAATAACATGTGGCTTCCAAAATTTGACGTAGGTACGCGTCTGAGACGAGGGGTTAAGAAAGACAGAATAGTAATTTTGCTTCCGCAATACCGAAATATACTTCGTATTATTCTTAATCCTACTTCTATATAATATATGTATAAAACTATTTATTTCTTATGTTATCGCACTCACTTGTTATTAAACAAAACATTTTTGATTGGGTAATAAATGGGTATAAGCGCGTTTTTTATTTTTATTTTCTTTATGTTTCAGTATTCTTCCCCGTCCTTACCCTCTTTCGCCTGCCGATATCTTGTATCGATCTCGGGTAAATGTGAGGACCTTAATATTAAATATAAATCCTCCCTACAAAACTCACTATTACAATCAAAATAAAAAAAAATCATTAAAAACTAAACTAAAAAAACCCTAGCCTATCTTGCGACTACGAAGCCCTCAGAACAATAACTAAGTTATTGTAAAATCTGTATGTTCGTAATCAGAGTCGGCGCAAAGTGGTGTGGGCCACCGCTCACGGCCTCGCGGTGGAAAGGGACTCGCGCCCCACAGCCGAAAATAAATTTAAAAAAGTATGGAAATTCTAAAAGAACACGCCGTGCCGCAAGGGATATTTTATATTAAAGGGTGTCTCAATAAGAGTCCTCTTTTTATTATAAACTTAAAACACGTATATAGACTGTAAAGAACTTGTGCCTTATAAAGTTGCAGTCGGTCGGCAGGGCCGGTGTGAAGTACCTTTCGATCTATTGAGCACACCAAGCTTCTTAGAAGCCAATTAGGCCTTTCCCTCTAAATTATCCCAAAACTGGACCACGCACGATATGTCAACGCCAGGAATTCCAATACTAGCTGAGGCAGTTAGAGGAGTGTTCTCAAAATGAGGGAATACGACAAATAGTATTTTTTTGCGGTAATCCCGCATACCTGTGTTTTAGTAGGATTATTAAAGTCGGTCCCAATTTTATACTTTGTATAACAAAGTCTCAACTTCAGAATATTTATTTTATTCTATACTTAATCGGAACATGTCTTCTTTTTTTACAATCTTCTTTATTTAGAGGCTTTTACCTTATAAAGATATGCCAGCCCCATCATATCCTAACATTATAAATTACAAAATTAATATAAAATTACGACGATGCATTGTTGCAAAAAATATATATAAGGCTTTTGAATATTTCCGATTGCAAATCTGCCAATATATTGTTGCAAATATCTCTACACCGAACACGTTTATATTATGTTTTTGCAATAATGACATTGTCTTATTGTTATACTTAGTACACTCTACAAACATGTGCTGAACGTCATCGACTGTACCACAAATTTCACAATTAGGAGAATCTAATTTTTTCAGAAGGAAACCATATTTCCTGGATGGAGAATGTTCAGTACGAAGTCTTAAAGCTGTTACAATGAACCTTCTGCTGCATTTCAAATTGACAAACCAAGGAATTGTCAGAGGCTGACACTGGATTGTCTTGTACCAGATTCCTTTTTCCCTACTTCGCTCGTCAAAATTTTCTCTAAATTTTGCAAAACATTTTCTTTTGAATTTTCCCAGAAGCTCTAATAAAATGGTAAAATATTTCAGTTAATACCTTCAGTGATAGCTAACTTCGCCAGTCTGTCGGCCTCTTCATTTCCTTTAAGACCATCATGAGATAGAATCCGTTGCAATCTCAGAATAATATTACGCAAATTGATTTCATAGATCCTGCTTAAAATAGAATATGTTATCGGTGTGCCTCTGCTGTGTCCAATGGCGCATCGAGCTAAATGTTGTAAGGCACTTTTGCTATCTGTCAGTATAACAAACCGATGTTCTTCTAAACCGTCAAAGTAATTTATGGCTTCTAAAATTGCAAGCAACTCCATGGTCATGATTGAGAATTCAGTAGTTGATTTATACATAGCAGAGCATCCCTTTACATCAAAGAAAGCAGCGCCTACACCAAGAGTCCCTTTGGAAGCATTTGTAAAGATGTGTGTCCAACCTGTATACTTCTCTCTCAATTCAATCATAGCATTAATATAAAGTTGCGAGGTAAAATAGCTGTTTTTGGCTTTTTTAACACTCATATTTTTCTTATCAAATATTTTTTTTTCTAATCTATTCTATTCTAAGAGATATTCCACTCTTCTGCGCACGAAATGAATGTGAATAAATAATCGATATTCCTGATAAACTACATTAAGTTTCACTAATATTTCTCATTTTTGTCTTTTCTGATTGTATTTTAAGAACAGAATAAAATTAATATTTAAGGGAGGCCATATCACAAACATGTTTTTTTTTGCCGCTCATTGCCGCTCATTGCTCTTCATCAGGGGTGCTCAAACTTGAACTGCTGGCGATCTATCTCAAAATATTTAGACTACTTACGATCGACTCTGAGAGGCTGCAAGTGTGTGTGATGCAGGGTTGTCGTACATACATACATGTACATAGGGTGTACCGTAGCATATATAGATATTAGCTTTCCGCACAATATACTTTATTTTATTCAAGGTTTGGGTTAGGTTTAATTAGGTTCTTCTCTACAGTATCAATGAAAAAACTCATAGTTATTCAAAACTGCGAGTTTATTGGTTGTTCCAAAACAAAAGCGTTCCATCTGGTGTTAAACTTGACTAAGGAGTGACTTTGGATGTTGAAGCGTGGCACTGCATGTCTTCAGCATACTTTTCGTAAGATGCTACATAACCACCGAATGCTAATCGCAAGCATGATGGCATATGATCGTCTGTTAGTTGATTGCGATATTTTGACTTAATTATCTTTATTTTAGGAAATGCAGACTCGCACAAGTAAGTTGACCCAAACATTGCCGTCAGTTGAAGAGCGATTTGCCTTAGATTCGGATATTTATCACCAGAAATTAAAACAAAAGAAATTTGTATCAGATTAGATAGATGTATATCTTATATAATCTGCACCAACTCAATTTCAAAAGAATATGACTTCATATTAAACTGACTTGCTATTTCAGTAGCTAATACCTCAATGTTTTTACATGAAAAAGGATAACTCATAGATGATGCTAAATTTGCCTATTTACTGCAATCATAAAAATGCATTTCGAATTGTCTCAAAATATTTGATAATTCTGCCTCATACGTATCATAATTCAACTGAGGAATCCTTGCTTTCAAAGACGGAATATGTTTCAGATCCTTTCTTTTCAGTTGAGCTATCATAAGTTGCAATTTACTTTTGAATGCGTTTACTGCGCTAATCATCTCAATAATAGTTTTTCCTTTACCTTGAAGCTCCAAGTTAATGGTGTTTAAGTGCATTGTGATGTCAGTCAAAAATGCCAAATCAGTCAGCCATTTTTCGTTTTTCAACATCTGAGTGTCATCACCTCTTTCGTCTAGAAAAGCTGTTATTTCGGGCAATAATTCTTGAAGCCTTTCTAGGAATTTTCCGCGACTCAACCACTTGACGTCCGTGTGAAGAACTAAATCAGTGTGTTCAGCTGACTCCCTATCTTCCAACTGCAACTTAAAGAGCCGCCGTTGCAAACTACGTGCACGGATGGAATTCACAATTTTTGTTGCAATGCCCATAATTATTTATAATTTCCTCCGTGTTTAAAACTTATGAACACAAAACTTGTTGATGTATAATGCAATGGAATGAAAAAAATGAAGGGACATCTCCATTAGCTCGACACAATGCCACAAAACCGTTTTTGCAAACCGGTGCTTCATCGGTTGTAATGCACACTAATTCATATATTGGTAGCTTGTAGTTTTTTTTACAAAATTGAAGATTCTTCCTTCAGAGGAATGATTGTCAAAAATTCTTCTTTAGCCAACATGTCATTGAATACCATCCGAATAAAAATACACAGCTGGGCAGTGTCTGTCATATCGGTGGATTCGTTGATTTGTAAAGAAAAGTATGTACACATTTCATGATATCATGTTTTAGTTTATCTGCCATGTCCTGACTCATGATTTCAATACGCCTTGTGACAGTCGGACGAGATAATTGAAGTTCTCTAATAGCACACATGATATCTGTTTTATTTTTAAAATCTCCAAATAAAGTCTCACCCGCTTCAATAAATGCTTCCTTCACAACCGATCCATCTTCGAATGGTTTCTTGTGTTTTGCCAATATATGAGATATTTTAAATGACGCGATCGTAGCAGCTTGATTGTTTGGCTGGTCTTTCTTTTTTCAAACAAGTTATCAAATCACGTACTTTTCGTTTTCTTAATTCACTCTGTGGCGGAAATTCCTTTTCATAGATTTTATGAACCGTTTTATGATGCCTCTCTAAGTTACCACGCTTAGGTATTAACTGCCGCATGACAAATAAGACAAATGCACTTATCCTTTACCATACAAAAGAAAAAATCGTTATTAAAATGATACGTTCCCGTCAAACGCGCCACCCGAAATTTCTAGAAAAGCGGCAAGAGAAAGAAACGCGGCTCTTCTTTGACAAGTACCGCGCGTTCCTTTGATAAAGCCGCCTTTTGCCGCTAACAGAGTTTAATTTTATTACGTAATAATTTTTTAAGTTAAGTACGTACTTATTGAAAAAAAAAAACTTCTCGAGATCTACTCGAAAAGCACTCGCGATCGATCGTTTGAGCACCCCTGCTCTACATTAATAACAGCTACAGGTAGACGTTTGAAATATTTACAGAATATTTATTTGTATATAAAATTTAACAATAAATGATTATTTAACAACAAATACTAATATAAGTATTTAAGGGGGACTACCATAGCTTAAATTTCACAGATGACATATTTCTGTTGCCGCTGTAACAACAAATACTACAAACAGAATAAAATAAATATTTAAGGGGGACTGCCATACAACAAAAGTGTTTTTTTGCCGTTTTTTGATCGATATTATTTATACTAAAGTGTCTAATGTTGTATAGATAATTGTACGGAACCTTTCGTGTGCGAGTACGACTCGCACTTGGCCGGTTTTTTATTTTATAAACCCTTCTTGCACTATCAGAGGTCCTCGCTAAAAATTCCTTGCCCCAATGACGTATAATATAAAACATCAGAGACTTGCCCACATTAAGTTTAGGTCTTGCTCCGCCACTGCTCGTAATTTAATTATTGTTGTCAGGCAGAGCCTGTAAAAGGTTCGTAACCTCTAGAAAATTGAAATAATGTAATAAAAAAACACTTAAATCCGTCCAAAAAGTGTTTTATTAAATATTGTGGTTATTCTAGTTTGTTAGGTACGTTACGTCACAAGGCCGAGGAACCGCAAACTATCCCGCCAACGCTAGAGGCATCGTTTAGTTCTCATCTGAGTCAACGAAGTTAATAAAATTACGTCACCGGCACCGGGATAAAACATTGTATTGTCTGTATAACATAGGAAGTTAGATATTATATGGTGATATAATATGCTAGAGTTTGTTACATAAACAAGGAAAATATAATACATGATCCTCAAAAAATAATAATACCTAAAATACAATTGTAAAGGTTCGGTTACCAATTGTATTTTTTCGAGGATCAATTAGGTACTATTTTTTGATGATCATTTTAATAAGTGCCTGTAAATAAGGCCTGAAATTCGTTATTTTCAATAAGTTGGTTTCAACAGTTAGGTATGATAAATTCGTGGAATTTATAACGAAGATATCAATATCAATTTAATATTAACTCAAATCACTGCAATCTTTTTAATGATAATGTTATGTTTCAATATCACAACATACTATAAAATAAAGTACCTCGACTACTCTGCGTGAATTTATGCTCACAATGTGATTTTCATCAGTTACTTATATTTTTGTCTTACTGAAAGTTAAGATTTAAAAAACTTAACCGGGAACAATTGGTAAGCGGCCCACCATAACCAATAGAAACTTTTGATATATAAAATATCATTCGCGCCGTTGCCTATCTCGAACCAATCCCCAAGGACCCTTTTTTTATTTTTTGACGATGAGAAATCCCTTGGCGGACCGTACCGTGCTCTGGCTAGGCGCACGGCGTGTGTGGGACTCACCCGGCGGGGCGCAGCGCCGGTCCTACCCACTAAAACTCACCGGTACCCTCCCACGCCCATGTGGGAGCGTCTCAGGATCGGCGCACCTCTGTGTGCGCCACTTCACTGGAAAGCCCCCGGGCCGGCCCCGACCAAAGAGTGGACCGAGCGCCACGCCTCTGGGGGATTACGCTAGGCTACTAGGCAATCCCCAGACGGGGAGGCCTATGCCGAATGGCACCTAGGGCACGCGATGGCCAAGCCGCGCCCATACCACCTTAGGGCCGACGAAGACTGGCAGTCACGGCTACCTGCTTTCTTCGGTCCACCCGCCTACGTCGGAGGGGAACGGCTAGAGCGTCCTCCTCCCGCTCACTCTCCGCGGCTCCTTCTGCGTCATCACCGATTCGCAGAAGGAGGCGGCAGCCTTCCAGGCCCTCTCGCTACCAAGCATGGCTCTAACCATGTTTCGCAACGAGAGGTCTCCATCGCCGAGCGCCACACGATTAGCGTGTGCTCAGCCGTGTCGTCGGGAGAGGTGATGACACTGCGCAGAACCTCCCTCCGTGCCTCGGTGCGGAGCCGTTCTACTTCCTCCAGAACGGGCCGCTCGCCTCGTATTCTCGCCGCGGCCCTGTGTTGATGCACTTGGGACAGAATCAGGGCATCAACTTCCCACGGGAGCGTACCTGCCAGGACGCAGGCAGACCCGTGGCTGACCGTGCGGTAAGCCTGGGCCACGATGACCCCCCCCCCCCCCCCCCCCCGTGGAGCCCTGGAACCTTAATCACCGCTCGCAATTTATTTATTTTCATTTGGGAAAAATACGAGTTTACACAATTCAATTAAGTAACGCTTATAACTTTTCCATAAACCAGTTAAGTTTCCACAGACTCAAACATTCATACACTTACATAATTTACTTAAAGTTACGTACAATATTTAGAGTTATGTGAATAGAATAAACATGATAATCAAAATTGATGGTAAGAAAATAATTACTGAGGGTTAGGGTAAAATGCCCTTATAGCATTAATTTCTAAATTGATTCTAAGAAAGGCAAAATATATCCAATCCCCTGAAGTATTTATTATAGCTGTGACATGCTCTAGAAATGAAACTATTTGCAGCAAACTTGGTCCTGCTGAATTGTATTACAAACGTGTTGTCAGACCTAGTTCTATTAGGACAACGGAAACCAATCCTCTGCAAAAGGAACGGCGAATCTACAAGGTCATTAATAAGTTTGTAAAGAAATAATTGATCTCTAACAGTTCTGCGATGTTGCAAGGATGTATGTAACCTGTAACTTTGTTTCACAATCATCAATAATTAAGTTAACATTAATTTTGTTTTCTAAGTACTTTACAAATTGGTGTTAAATTCTTTTAATAGCATTAATGTATGTATTATACTGTGGATTCAATACATAAGAGGCATATTCAAGGTGTGGTCTCAAAAATGCATTATACAGTATTATCAAAGTAGATGAGCTACGGAATTTCTTTCCAATACGCATGATGAAACATAGCATTCTATACAATTTTGCAAGAACAGCAATGATCTAAATACGGCGAAGTGAGGTCGGGTCACTAGTAACATAATAAATCTTATCGCAGATATTATACAAAAGTGATGTCCTGTTTGTCCAAAATATTTTTTTCAATACTTGCTCGATTAAAGGAAATTATGACTTTACTCATTTAAAGTTTTTAACGAAATTCTTTTAAACAGGAGTTGATTTGATGGCTGTTTTTTCCGTGGCACGTCGTCTCGTCATAACGAAGTAAAGAAAATTCGACAAACAGCAAACTTTGGTATTTCCAGAATAAACGAGAAAGAAGTCCGGTCAACGTATATGAAGTAACTAGTGAGAGCCCGCAACTTCGTCTGCGTGGTTAAATTTTTTCATCCCCCTTAAGGATGATTTCTGCGATAAAAACTATTTATCGTATGTCTGTATGTCCTTTCCCGAGACTCAAACATAGCTGTACCAAATTTCATCTAAATTGGTTCAGCGGTTTAAGCGTGAAGAGGTAACAGACAGACCCACTTTCAAATTTATAATGTCAAGTATGGATCTACTTATGTAATGCTTACTAATAGCGTTGATATTCTAACGCTAGCCGGGCTAAGCAGTTGACACATTTCTGACCGTCCATATTGGTAAACGTTCGCGATAGAGCGACAATATTGCCGTAGCATAAGATTGTTAATGTAAAGGTTTGTAGGGTTGTATTGCGTATATCTGAGGAGCTCGATGGCGCAAGTGGTAAGCGCGAATGGCTGCGATCGTGGAAGTTAAGCAACTTTCGCAGTGGTCGGTCATTGGATGGGTGAGCAAAAATTTACTATCTCGACCTCCTCCGTGCTTCGGAAGGCACGTTAAGCCGTTGGTCCCGGCTGCATCAGCAGTCGTCAGCACCCACCAATCCGCACTGGGCCCGCGTGGTGGGTCATGGCTTTATCTATATCCCTTTTATGGCAATATCCCTTTTCCATCCATAGGGAAGGCCTGTGCCCCAGCAGTGGGGACATCAATAGGCTGATGATGATTGCATATATCGCCACTAAGTTATGCGACCGGCCATTATCGGCTATCTTAGCGAACATTCGGGCTGCGGGTGCGTTTTCGGGCAAGTTGCGGTGCGTCAAAGAGTTTTTAGCGCGCTTATTCAACGCGCTGCGTGGTCAGACTAGCGTTGTTTATTTATAAAATGATTCGACTACTCTTAATTTTTGGTAGTGTTTATGTGTTTGTTTTTAGGGTTCCGGAAAAACGGAACCCTATTGAATGGATTACAGAACTGAAAAAAAGAAAAACTAAAAGAGCGTACTCCTTCCTTAAAGGCCGGCATCGCATTTGTGATACTCCTGGTCTTGCAAGTGTCCATGGGCGACGGTGATCACTTACCATCAGGTGAGCCATATGCTCGTATGCCCCCTATAACATAAAAAAAAACTGAAATTTTGGTATCTTTGGTATCTCAAAATCGAAACTACTTAAGAATGTGAAATTCTGGTATATGATCTCCCATATGCTGTATTAAAAACAACAAATACTCAAAACGCCGTTCCATTATGTACTTTGTACTTTGACAAAAATAAACAAATGATTTTACGGAACCCTAATAAAGCGAGGCCAGACTCGTGCTTGGCCAGTTTTACTTTTTACAGTTATGCTCTAAAGTGTCAACGTAATATATGTTCTATTATAAATCTTAAATTTTTAATATGGCTATAGATAATTCAATGTCTTTAGTTTGGTTGACCGAAGTAACACCCGTACTACTACTGATACAAGGTCCAATTTTTTTCTTTTATGTGTTTTAATATTTATTCGGTTAGTATTGGTTTTCTCTGAACTCCGTTTTATTAAAACTTACATAATCTCTCTTACTCAATAAATTAATAAATTGAATACTAGTATGATTTGGAAGTCGGGTGGGGTTGAGATTGAAAAGCGTATAGCAATTAGAAATGAAAATCTTTACCATGTTTTGCTTGTTTTTTTATTTTTCATCATTAGGACCCAACGAGATCATGTAAACCGAATATATTTTTTAACTTTATTTTCTATTTTCGATTTTAAAGTCGGTTTTTATATTTCTGGTTTATTTGTTTCTTAGGTTTTCACGCATATCACTCATTAAATAAAACTAGTTTTTACGGTTTAATGCACGAAACTTTATTTATTTATTGACGTTTCGTAGCCTTTACAGGCTACGTCGTCAGAATTAAACTTTTATTAAATAATTTTTTTCATGCCCGTAAAAACTACTTTTATTTAATTTCTTGTTTTTGTAGAATATTTATGAATTTAGTTTTTTGTTCATTATTTTATTGAAATTTTCGTAAATATTAAATACAACATTCTCGAGGATCACATTCACAGTTGAAGTTTTATATGAAACTTCCTAAAAGTGTTGGGTCAGCGTGTGTCAGCTTTTCATTTCTAAAAACAAATTTCAAGTAAAGATTCAATCGAAGTAGATTTTTGTGGATATGAACGTACGGTACGGAGACAGCTGCCGGCGCCGGCGAGTCTGGTGCAGGGTCGGCGCCCGCCGTTTCCCGGGACGACGCCAGTCGATCGCGGACCGCACGCCGCACGCATTACGATGTATTGTCACCACATCACTGCGGCCTGTCTTTTGTTCACATTACAAACTGTCAGTGCTAAAATCAGCGGAGGCCCCCGCGGCCGATTCGGTGGAGTTTCCGACTATTCCAATTCACACGTAAATGCCCACCACGCCCACTACTCTTATCATCCCCCGACTCACATTACGTATATATGCCGATATTGTACGGGCCCTACTTCGTACCCGGTTTACCACAGCACGTTACCGAGTTACGTTTATAAATTCAGGGAATCCGATAGCCGTTACGCGGTTTTACTTACCGGATTGTCTCTATATAACTTGGGAAGATGTTGTGGACAAGTGGACTCCAGTGTTTACACTCCACGTGCTGAAGAAAAATGCTCTCTACAAGTTATCGACCGCAGACACTTCGAGGAGGCAAGATTTCCATGCTTCATGATGTCGTCCTTTATGGAGCATAATCAATCGAAGTTTTACGAGGCATTGACTTTGAAGAATGCATCAGTTTTAGTGAACGAAACCACGACGACGGAGGTGCCTGTAACATTTGACATTGTGTCAGCTCATGTCGATGTTAAGCCATATTTGAGTGAAAATATGACTTTGTTAGTAGTAAGCCGTGATCAAGACTGCGTGATATGGCATAATATGACGATGACGAAAGAGAGGCATACCGTATCTTGTACATTGCTAAAGGAGTACGCTGAAACCATGAAGCCTGTCGGGGTTCCAGTGTATATTTGGATGCCAGCTCTGTTATCTACCATTGTTGGTATTTACATAATATGCTACTGTTGCTGCAGAAAACCCAAGAATAAGAAGGAAGATTTACCTTTGAATCCGAACAGTGTGTATAGATACTGTTCTAACTGATTCAGAACAGATTATAAGCAGAGGCGTCTCTAGCCCTTGTAGCACTAGTGTCCAATCATTAACCTAGCGCCCTCTAGTAAGCGCATGGTCAAAGTGTAATGGTGGCGAGTGACGCTAGGCGCCCCCCGACCGCTGCGCGCGTGTGCAACACGCACCCTACACCAAAGGTAAAGCCGCCTCTGATTATAGGGGAAAAGCCGGATAGTTGTCCCACTCTCCAGTAAAACTTTATTGTTGAAAAATATTGACCTACAAGTAGTGATGCATCATGTATATTGTTTATCTATACACGAAATTTATCCTTTATTTTTCATAGTAGCTTATTTGTTTTAAACGTAATTTATTATCGATTTGAGTAAATCCAGCTTTCATAGACTTCTTAGAAAAGGATAGGTGCCTACTCAAACGGATAATGGCCTAACGCTAAAAAATTATCGAGGGAAACTTACCCCTTGCCTGAACTTTGTGAAAATAGACCACTCACTTTTCTTGAAGAAAAGTATATTTATACGAGTATGAACTTTTACAAACAGTTTTTAATATTGATTGTTTGTATCTGACTTGCGCTTGAACTTTTTTTGTGGGTGCCGTCTTTTCTTCGCAACATTACTTTGAATAAGCAAATGTTGGCAGTAGTTTTCTTTTATTATTTTTTAAAGGATATTTACGATACATTTCGCTCTTAAAATAGGAATTTAATATATTTAAAATAAAAAATATATAAGTATTTCCAACACTCACACCAATTAGCCTAGCCCCAAAGTAAGCATTGTAGGGCTTATGTTAAAGGATACTAGGGCAACGGATAGAATACATATACAGTACATTTATATAAAAATACTTAATTAAACATCCATGACTGGAGTACAAATGTTCGTATTCATCACACAAACCCACCCACCGGGATTCGAACACGGGACCTCTCGAGTCGGCGACACCATGAAACCCGGCGTACAAACCACTCGGCCACGGAGGTCGGAGAGATTTAAAACAGTTTTTTATATTTTTATTTAAAACAAAAAAATATTTAAATATTTTTTTATTCACGAGTTGGAAAAACATTCAAATCAGTAATAATTTATGGTTAATTGCCCATAGAGCAAATATCTGCAAAAGTAAATAGGGAAATTTTTGTTTGATACGGATACTTGCCCTTTATTTTTATAAAATAAATAAAAACTAGTCAACAACAAAACAAGTAAAATATGCACATGCACACACATCTCTCTATCACACACACACACACACACAGTGTAATGTATTATAAATACTTTGTTTCAAATCATGTCTGTAATGTGCCTGTCTTTTGAGGTGGGCGCTAATAACTGTTACACAGTCTTAGACTACTACGGTTGTTAACGCTAAATTGTTATATTGTATACGTCATGGTTCAAAAATAAAGATTATTATTATTATTATAATTAGAAACAGTGTAATTTAAACAGTTTACTGAATCCCCAATATTCAAAAGAATGTCCTCCCTAATATAATTTCGACGTTAATCAACAATCATTTATTTGCTTACACGGCGCTTGTGCCTAATTCTACAATGTACATGCCATTAAAGCCTTCGGAAAAGACAGGTACTTTATGTTATGGAAGAGCACTAACGCCAACAGCATCCCTATAAACAGTGTATTGGAAACCGCGGCAAGTATCCAACTGCGGCGACTATCCGGCTTTTACCCTAAATCGTCGACGAAGTTCCTACTATCACTGTTTGAAATAAGGCTTATCTAGACTATAAATTAATATTAAATTAAAAAGTCACTAAAACCTTTTTCTTAGTAAACTACAGTTTCTTTAGGTATCTATATAATAACAAATTGCTATAATTAATGCTTAGACATATATGTTTAGTTTACATAAATTGTTCTAAAACAGATGGCGCACGCCCAAAATCAACGTTCTATGTATCGTGAACTTTGTCATGTCGTGTCCTACTCTATGGCAATAGATAATGTGTAAGATAGAGTAGGATGGACGATTACTACCACCATTATATCGAAAGTCTGCTTCAAATGTAGCGCCAAAGTTTACAGAGGATTTTTTATGGTGTCCAGACATGGAAGTTATTTATGTATGATAATGATGAGATAAGATACAAAACTTGTAACTTTTCTTTATTAGTAAAATTATTAAGGTTTTTTTTCTTTTAAATTTTAACTATTTGAACTCTTTTATACGTTTTATATTATAGCGGAAACTTTATTGATGTATGTTTTGTTAATTAAATCTAGGTATAAGTATTGTTTGTTTCCCAAATAAAGATAAAATAAAAAAATAAAATTATTTAATAGAAAATGTATATAAATGCGATTCAAATAAATTCAAATGTCGCTTGAAAAGTACGGTTTCACGCTTCTGTAATATGGAAATTAGTCAACTGTTTAGTATTTATGCTAATGGTATAATAGGGATTAGTTTAGCTTGTGTATTGTGGTTATGAAGTCCTGGAGGCCTACTCTAATTCAACGAAATTTCGTTTTTCGTCTCTGTTTCGTTTTTTTATTATAATAATATTCGTCGATGGAATATAGATTGAGGTGTAGATTTTTTTAAACCCACTCAATGAAAGTTTCAGTTTGATAGTTTATCGTTCAAATTAAGTATAACCATAAATTTCCGAAATAAAAATTTCGTTTGAACTACGCTATCGAAAGTTCGTTTCGGAGAAAGAGAGTAGAACTCCTGGTGCAGAATGTCATCAATTTGTCCGTTCTGATTAAAATATGCCTTTGCGATATTGTGATAATATTACTCTTAGCATAGTATAATATAAGTAGAAAAAAGTATAAAACATTAATTAACATTCGGGTTCTAGCTGATTCTTGTGTATGCATGATTTTAATGAAATTGTCGTGAATGCTGTGTGTTTAGAAATTTCAGTTTATTAAAGTGATGCTGTAATTATAAAATTAATAAAATATTTTAAAATAGGCGATTACATTGGTTTTATTTTTTACCTCATCTTGAAATTAATAGATTGGTAATTCACTTATTACGGCATGATAATTATAAAGCAATCTATAACTTTGATTATGCTCACATAAAAACACTTGGTGAACAGAAGTATTAGGTCAAGGCCACACTGGTACGGCGACTGCTACGCACGTAGCGCGATATGTCGCGTCGGCGCTGTACGTACAGGCAGCTAAACGTCTGTAGTGCGGCCACTATAGAGCAACGCGACCGACGCAGCCAAGAGGGAGTAGGCATACACAGCTTTCCTCTCTGTCAGATTGGGCATACAAACCATACATGTGTGCAGGATTTGGCGGTGTATTGTGTCATTGTTTATGTGTTAGTGTCGTAATTACAGTTTTGTTTTTTACGTATGTACGTTAAACTGCGTTTGTGTGCATTTCCCCCTCTGATTAAAAGTAGCAGAATGATTTAATGATTTGAATAGTAATAGACCGCTATGGTTACTCCCTTCTGTGTTGCTCTATAGCGACCGCGTGCCACCGACATATTGTACTTTTATGAGTATGTTTTCACAAAATCGCCGTCGCGTCGCAGTCGCCTTACTAGTGCGGCTAAGGCCTTAAGCGCATTATTTAATTTAAAATAATTTGATACGTTGCCAATCCAGCGATGGTCACGGAAATGGACTTAACAGTTGGAGCCAAATAAGTCCAGGATTAGATCATACAGTAATGGGCGTAATTTTTTATAGTATATGGGTAGTATATACGTCGGAGCGTTTCGAACATAGTGGTGATTCAGTATAGTATATCTATATTAAATATAACTATAAAGTAATAATATTGTAGCGATCGTATAAATCGGATTACTCAAAAATGGGGTCTAGAAGTGCAGTAGTATACTCCACCTTACTGTCCACTTATTTGTTTTCCAAGATCTGGTAAGGTTTTCTCTGTCTTTTGTCTGTCCACCCGTCGGTCAAGACCATTTTTCTCAGGAATGCGTGGAAAAATCTTCCGAGGCTCTATTTTTTAAGTCAAAGTTTCCAGAAAGAGAAACAGGATATTCCCCAAATTTTGCCAAAATTAAGGTGCACATTATAAGCTATCTCACTGCTTGTGTCTCCCAAACCTCATCGCTCAATTACCGTTCTCACAGCCGCCGCAACCCTTTGTTCACAAAGAAAAACCAATTATTGAATCTAAAGAATTTTTTACATGGAAAAAATCCACGCGGTCAAGGCAGCCGATGCGACAGCGTGGGTTTTTTCTACTAAAATTTTCGTTAGATTTAAACATAAGCAGTTAATTGCTTAAAAATATATAATAAATCAATTATTATTTGAAATAGATATTAATTACCTAAATATGTTCCAGCTGGCGCAACGATTTTCTTACCCAAATTGTACCTATCTAGGTACACTAAACTTCACTAAACTAAGGTTGAAATGATAATTATGTTTAGAAAACTTATTCGTAGTAACTATGAAAAGGATTACTGAAATCCCTGCTGAGTCAACTAACTTTTAGATACCCGGTAAACACGGCCTTGCCACTTTAGAAATTTACAGTGTCCTTGACATTTTAAACAGGACACTAATGTCGTATTTACAGTCACGCCAACCAATCCACGTTACTCGAACGCCGAGCTTTAATTAGTCTCATCCAATTAACATAACTTTACTGGGAAACGACCTCTGTGTAAGCAACTGGTGTTATCTTACTAGAATATGAGTTTCACAGACAAGGATTTTAATAAACAAAGGAAAACATGGTTACAGTCGGACCACAATAAGTCTGCAGTAGACTGACAGTAGCAAACATTTTTTTTTCACATGGCAGTACTGATTATAGTTAAATAAACTTACACTGATACTTTATTATCAACCGACTTAAAAGGAGGAGGTTCTTAATTATATATATGTATTATTTTATTTTGAAATTAAACAATAAGTAAGACGACGGTATGTTCAACGATTTAGCATTTATTAGAAAGACAATATAAATATCATTACACAAGTGCAGTTTCAATATTACATTATGGACTTGGACATACATTTAAATCAGTTTTAAGGTATGAACAATAATGGTCAACGAATTAGAAACAACAACAAAAAGTATAAAAACAATAAGTTTTTAAGTAATAGTAATTAGTATTGTAGTAGTAACAATATACCAGAGATTATCTATCGGGTTAAAATTTGGACTATTTGCTGGCCAACGGATATACGCTGTTCGCTAAGGAAACATTTGACGCTATTGACCGTGTGTTTAGGGTCATTGTCATACTGAAAGATCCAGGTTGCAGGCAAATAATCGTCCGAGTAGGGAATTATTGTGTGCTCTAAGATATTTTTGTATTGCCATTGATCCATTGTACCTTCATTCTTCCGAACGGGTCCAACTCAACATCCGGAAAAACACCTCCAAACTTTAATGTTATTGCCACCATGCTTGACTATACTCATTGTAAATTTATAATTAAAAGCATTGTTTAGAGGGCGTCTAACATAGCGTTTTCCATCGGAATTTACCATATTTATTTTTGTTTCATCTGAAAATAACATTTTTTACATTCTCGTACCGTCCAATTAATATATTTTTTAGCGAATAATAATCGCTTCTCCTGGTGTTGCTTGGTAAGAAGTGAGTACCTTTCGAGCGATTCTTCCAATCAATTTAGCTTCCACTAATCTTTGGCGTATCAGTCTTGTCGAGATGTTTCTCGGATCATCAGGCAAAAAAAACTTTATTTTTAATCTGGTTGGAGCCTTTGCTTGAGTCTTTTTTAGCAACACCAACGATTAATGTATCTTCTCTGGGAGAGGAAT